AGAGGCTTCCTCCCCAGCGGCTTCCTCCCCAGCGGCTTCCTTCCCAGAGGCTTCCTTCCCAGAGGCTTCTTTCCCTGATACTTTGTCTTGAACAACGCTGTGGGTTTGCGTGTTTATTAACTTCATATTTACGCCGACATCTTGTCCTGTGTCCTTGCAAATTCCTCGTGAGTAGCCCACTTGTTTCCCCAGCCCAGCACAGTGCTTGGCATGCAGTAGGCGTTTAATAAATACTCCCTCTTTGCCTGATGAAACGTCATCTGCTGCAAGCCCTCATTTCATATTTAAGGTGTTTTCATGTCCATATAGGATCGTCGAGCCTGCCCAGCTAAAGCATCAGAGCACCCTGAGGGGCAGACGGAGGCGGTGCGTGCCAGGCAAGGTGAACCTTGGCTACCATGTCTCCTCCAGCCCCGATGAGGACAGCCCAGGAACCAGAGCCCAAGAACCTTGGGATAGCATCATCCAGCCCAGCCCAGACAGCCATCACGGAGGGGAGATATTGGAGAGAGGGGTCTGCCTTCCCCACAACCATCCTTGACAACTGTTGACTGACTGCTCCGAGACACAGGGAGCCCAGACACGGTTTTACACACTAGGTTACTCTGGTCTAGCTTTGTGTGTAGTATACCTCGTCTCTTCCGCTGATCAAACTAGATATTTTTTAACCAACTTGTTCGGATGATTACTGTTTTCTAGTACAGTTTGAGATCCGGCTAGGCCTCTCTCCTTCCTAGTTATTTCTTTTCATTATTTCCCTAGAGATTCTTGACTTTTTGTTCTTCCAGATGAGTTTCATTACTATTTTTCCTAGCTATCTAAAGTAACCCTTTGGTAATTTGATTGGCATGGCATTGAATCAGTTAATTAATTTAGGTAGTATTGTCATTTTATAATATTAGCTTGGCCTACCCGTGGGCCATTAATACTTCTTTGTTGTTGTTGTCTGGTCTTATCTGACTCTTTGTGACCCCGTGTGGGGTTTTCTTGGCAAAGACATGAGTAGTTTGCCATTTCCTTATCTGGTGGATTAAAGCTAAATGACTTGCCCAGAGTCACACAGTTAGCGACTGTCTGAGGTCATATCTGAACTCAGGTCTTCCTGACTCCAAGCCCAGTGCTCTATCCACTAGGCCACCTAGTTGTTGCCTCCAATTATTTAGGTCTGTTTATTTCTATAAAGAGTATTTTAAGCTTGTCTTCATATAGTTCCTGTGTACTTTGTGGTACATTGGGGTAGGTCCTGGGCATTTCACACATTCTAAAGTTATTTTAGATATTTGCCTGGAGATGATAGTTACACCTGTGGGAGCTGATGAAGCTACCAAGAGAGAGAAAGCAGAATTAGAAGAGATGAGGACCTAGCATAGAACCTTGGGGATGGCCACAGTTAGGCAGTGTGATGTGGATGATGAGCCAGCCACGAAGACTGGACAGGAGCAGTGAACACTTGGAGCAAGCATCAGAGATGGGATTGAAGGCCTGCTTGTCTGGGGGCATCAGGAAAGGCCTTCAATAGGAGATGATGCTTAAACTCAGCCTTGAAGGAGTTGACAAGTCAGAGGTGAGGAAGAAGAGTGCTCTATGCGTGGCCTCAGCCAGGAGGCAGGAGATGACTTCTCGGAGGCTGGAGTGGCTGGATCCCTTCTGGTTATTCTTGGTCATTCTTCAAAGGAAAGCCAGAGAGTTCCTCTGGATAGGTTACTGAGCTCAGGCAAACCTAGGAGCTAGACCCTGGGTATGGGGTCTGTCAGCAGCATGACTGGCCTTTTCCAAGGTGAACTCACTCTAGGCTTGCTCGTTGTCACTAGTGACTTGGAGGATAGAGGGGACAATGAGGGCCTTCAGAAGAAGATGCCCCTGCATTTCCCGCATGGGTCAAGTTACGGGCTCAACATCCCTGAAACAGGCCATTTGCTAAATGACACCTCAGAGGACATCCAGTCTAGCCCCCTGGTTTTACAGATGAGGAAACGGAGGCCCAGGAAGGCAAAGTGATTGGCCTATTCTCAGACATGATCACAGGGTCATAGAACTGGGACCAGAAGAGTCTTCAAAAACCATCTCATCCAGCCCCCTCATTTCATAGAGGAGGAAACTGAGGCCAGGAGAGAAGGGGCTTGGGGTGTGTTTCAATTGATAGGATCACAATTTAGAGCAGTTTGGGATCCTGAAATGGAGGCCGTGAGATAGCACAGTGGGTAATAAAGTGTCAGGCTTGGAGTCAGGAAGTTCTGGGCTGGAATCCTGTGCCAAACACTTCGTCCTTGGAAAGTCACTGAACCTTTCTCATCCTCAGTCTTTTCAAATATAAAATGGGGATAATAATAGGAATAGTGCCTACCTCCAGGGTGGTTGTGAGAATCCAATCAGATTTAATATAGATCTAGATATAGGTGGATATCTAGATATATGTACAGATATATATTTACATATACTTTATTATATGCACATTATTATGGTGATAAGATTTATACAGGGCTTCAAAGTTTGCAAAATATTTATATATGTATATGTGGAATGGGAATATATATAGATATAGATATATATAGAGAGAGAGAGAGAGAGAGAGAATGTGTGTGTAGAGAGGATATATATGTATATATGTATATATATGTGCATATGGAGTGGGGAGATATAGATGTATATAATACTACACTGTGCAATCTTTAAAGCCCCATATAAATCCTAGCTATGATCATAATAATAACTATTATTAACAATAAAAATAATGACTATTATTAGTGGGATGGCATTCCTGACCTTTATTGGCCAGCTGAGGGACAATGCTGCCACCTCCTGGCAGCATTAATCCCCAGGACTACCCACAGAGCTTGGAATAAATACCTTTCTTCATTC